CTCTGGGTCTGTTCAGGATCCCGCGGCCCCAGGTCATCTCACTCACTCGCCGTGCCTGTGCTCTGGGTCTGTTCAGGATCCCGCCATTCCTTTCACTTCTCATTGCTCTTTCAACCCCCCCGCCCAAATTCTTTCCATTTTCTTTCACTGTAATTCTTTCAGCTCTCCTCTGCTCCCCTCTCCTCTCCCCTCTATCTCTTCAGTGGTATTATGTACTCCGGGCCCTTCATCCATGTAGCCAGTTACTTCCTGTCTAAGTCTGCTCTTGGACAATGTCGAGGGTCCCTGGTGCCTAGAGGACATTCTAATTTTACACATCCTTTGTTCCAGTCTCTCCACCTTGGTTTCTGCCTCTTTTCCATGGTTCCCAAAACTTTTCCTCATAGACTTTCTGCTAAGAACATCCTGTTACTTCTTCAAAACACCTTTCTCAGTCTGTTTTCAAATTTGTGTCATAAAACGAGCTACCTCATAAACTAGTCATGTACGTGTTGACATTCCCTGATTATGATATGAGCTGTCTCTTCTTTATCCACATAGAAATCAGTAGATTTCTCTGCGCGCCATGGTATTATTTGTTGAAGAAGCAGAGCCTTTGTTCTAGTTATGGTGTTGCCACTACCTCTGGCCTGGGACACATTTCTTAACTTCTCTGACACTCGGCCTCATTTTATAAGTTGAGAGGATCTGCTGGATCCCTTCTAGCCCTCACACTTTGCAGTGGCCTTGACCTCTATAAGCTGTGCTGCCTGTCCTAAGACAGTGTCTCTTTATGGTGAGAAACAATCAAAGCAGTGAAGAAGAATCTGGCCCACGGGCATTCTCCTTAAATCTCTTTGCAAGTAACTTTTCAAGCAGTACCCTAACAGAGGAACGGGGCAGTTCAGGAGTCAGCACTGGGGCAAGAGCCCAGGCAAACCCTGGAGCCCGGGCACAGTGCAGGCTCTGAGGTGTCTGCGGAACCTGCAGGATTTCTGCCCAACCCGAAAGGGAGGAGGAAAAGAGCCTTGTGCCCATTCTGTAGTTCATCTTAAAACCATAAATTTTGAGGCTTGCAAGAGATCTTAGAGGTCTCAGTTTTATATATTCAAACCCATTTTATTTAAAGAAATGCCACATTTTACAGCAATTAGATGATTAATATACTTAAGAAATTGTGCAGTGCCTAAATGGGTACTTCTGTGTAAACAACTGCTTTGTGCATTTCTTACAAGCATAATTTAGTGTGCTCCTACACCAAAATCAAAAAGCTAAACACCAAAAAAGTAATACACTAAGGCCAAGGTAACAATTGCAACCTTTTAAATACCTCAGAAAGAAAAAATAGCCCTTTCTAAAACCAGTTATAAATAGTAAATTGTTGGAGAGGCCGGCACTTACCCAACTCTGACAGGACAAAGCCTAGGGCAGGGAGCTGGTCACTATATTAAAGACAAGGGTTGTAGTTTCATTTTTCAGATTTTATTGTAGAAAAGAATGCTATGGACATTTCTGGAATGTCGCATTCCATCTGTTAATGTCTGGCTTGCATTTCTCCTCAGTCTGACCTGCAGGTTAGTTATGCAACAAATGCTTTTTCTAGGAGGACACACACATTACCCGAGTTGATCAAGAGTCCCAGGTTTAAAGGTCTCTAAAGAACATTATTTCTGGGGCAGCATTTGCAAAACTAAAATTGAACATTCTGAATTGTTGAGCAAGCACTGAACCAACAATGAAATCTTGTCATTCAAAAGTTTTTCCTGCCCCCTGCTGGTCAGATTGAAAAACAACAGCAACATTGGAAAGCCTGAGGCAGAGTTGTTTTGCCCGCAGAAAAGAAAAATCTGTGATGCCCAAGCAAATAGGAACTGACTGTTCTCCAAGTGTCACTGAGGGAAATTCTGAGAACGAAAGGGTCTAAATAAAGAAAGCAGCCTATTTATGTACAAGAGTATATAAGGGGAGACTTTCATTAGCTGGTTCAAAAGGCCGAAAAAAGGAATTCTTTGTATCTTATGGATTTTTCTGTGATATCCTCAAAGTCTGTTATTTTGGCTTAATAGCCAAAAGTTGGATACAGAAACTAAATTCAATACAGAAATTGCAAGTCCAGAAATATATACCAACCTCTCTGAGCACCAGTTTTCTCTTTTAAAACCAGAAATGACAGAACTTTCACCACACTCTTGCAGTTCATGTATATGCATCTTGTTATCCTTTCTGGGCAGACAACAGTATCACAGGCCAGATCACTGCAAAGACCAGCAGGGAAACTTAGCTTCCAGCTGCAGTTCAGAAGCACAAGGCCCTTGTTCAGATCACCCTCACAAATTAATCATGTCTTTGAAGGTTAGTGGACTACACAGAAAGCAAAAATGAGCAGCCTGTGCCACACCTGGGGGAAGAAAGGAGGGCTTTGCTCTCTTCCCACCTGCTCAGAGTGCAGCAAGCGCACAGACGCCCAGCTGTCTTCGTTTCTCATTCCATTTTCAGGATCTTGAGCAATTCATGCCATTTTAAT